TGAAGATATTTTTGTAGAGATGCAAATTGTCTAAACCACGGGCAACGGGCGTCCGCGGGCGCCCAGCCGGCGGGCATGCCCCCACTCCAATCATCGCCCCACCACGTTTAAAACTATTTAGTTTAATTGGCGCTATTTGATGATATCATTACTTTTGTACAGAAGACAGTTTTGTAGTGAGGATATTTTTGTAGAGATGCAAAAAAGATAGAGTAACAAAATATGTATATTCGGTCCTTGGAGCTTATACTTGGCGCTTTTTTTACTTTTTTTTAAAAATATAATCTTCGTCAATAAGTAGACGCAAAGACGGTTACGATAGGTTAATGGTAGTGCGAAAAGGAGCGAACAGCAGCGAACACCAACGAATAGCACATCGCGCACGAATTGTCTTTGATGTACTGCCTCAGGAGGGAATCGAGCCGAACGCGAATCGAACGTTCTATTCGCATTTGCTTTAACGTATACGTCTTCCGAATGATAAAAACGAACGTTCGCGTTCGCTATTCGTTCGCTAAGTGTATACCTAGTTAAAGAACTAACAGCTTCAGAAAACAAACGCGATGTCCGAACATTCGCGTTCGGTGTTCGTTTCGTAGATGTATACCCAGCTTTAAATGCCGTCCGAGTCCGGCCTATCGTATTCTGCATCCTCATTCGCTCAGACGTGTAAATTTATTACTCGATAACTATTGTTACTTTTGTACCGCAGCACATGATATTTCTCCTTAGTTTAACCCAATCTATCACCATTTTCACGTTGACTATTTTTGCATCAGACACCCTGTATAATTAAAATAAAATATTAAAAACTTAAAGGACTTCCGTTTCCGGCGCGATAAGCAGAGGACACGTGTCAGTAGCGTTCGTGAGATTCACAGAATTTCAGAAGGATCGAGACGAGAGTGTGGGGTCAGGTGGAGGGTGCGTGGAGAGTGGAGTGGTGAGTGTGTGTGTGAGACAGGGCGGGTTAAGAAAAGGATAGTAGAGGAAGGTAATCCCCAAAAAAGGGATAGAGAAAGGTAGGACGGTTGACAGGTAGGCATAGAGTCAGAGAGAGCAAGGTAGTAGGATAACTCGAGAGGCACACGGGCCGGGCGACGACGGCGGCGCGAGCGGCTGTGGAAGGGAACTAGGCGGGGCAACGGACTTGGGCGAAAATCGCGGAGTACGGAAGAGGCGGCGTAAGGATGGAGGAGGAAATGGAGGGACAGAAGAGCGCTGAGGGGTTTGAGAGCACGGGAGGAAGGGGGAGAATAGGAAGTATCGGAGTGGTAGAGGAATTGGCGAAAAGGAAGAGAGAGGAATTGGAGAATAGTTGGGAGCAGATTTTCCAAAAAAGTAGTAAAACGGAAAGATCGTCACCGAGGAAAAAAGGGACGGACACGACGTTAGAAGAGGTCAGGGATGCGCTGTTGGATATAAAGAGGGAGGTGAGAGATCAGGGGAAGAGACTGGGGCAGGAGCTGGAGGATTTGAAAAGGGAATTCAGAGAACAGATGAAGGAGGGAAGGGAAGAGAGGGAAGTACTAAGAGCTGAGATAGAGAAAATAGAGAAAAGGGTTATAGAGTTGGAAAAAAGTGGGGGAAATGGGAAAAGTAGTGAAAAGAAAGGAGGGAAGGAGGGGGACGAGATTTTAAAGAATAGATTAAAGAGTATAGAAAGAAAGTTGGAACTAAAAGAAAGGGAGAAGAGGAGAAGAAATATAATAGTAAGGGGATTGAAAGTGGAAGGGGAAAACAGGAGAGAAAAGGTAGAAGAACTTATGAGGGAAATAGGAGTAGAAGTAGACATTTTAGAAACTAAAAAGATAGGAGAAGATAGAGAGAAAGGGAGAGAGATGGTATGGGTCAAATTAAGAGATGAAGAACAGAGAGGTAAGATTTTAGAGAAGAAGAGTAAACTGAAAGGGAAAAAAGAGAGAATAGGTGAGGATTTAACATGGAGGGAGAGGAAAATGAAATGGAAATTAGAGGAAATAGCGAGAGAAGAGGAGAAGGAGGGGAAGACAGTATGGATAAGATATGGGAGAATTAGAATAGATAATATATGGTGGAGATGGGACGAGGATGAAGAGGTGTTAAGGGATGGTAACGGGAATGTGAAAGAGTTAAAAAAAGGACTATAGGGGGGAAGAAGGAACGACAACATAGGAAAGGAGAATAGAGAAGGTAAGAGGAGGGAAGCGGAGGAGGGATGGGGAATAATGTTCTGGAATATAGCGGGATTGAGTAATAAAGATGAGGAGTTCTGGAGGGGTTTAAAGGAATGGGAGGTAATAATTCTAATGGAAACCTGGGTAGAGAAGAAAGATTGGAAAAAGGTGAAAAATAGACTACCGCCGGGGTTTGTATGGGGAGCACAATGGGCAATCACAACGAATAAGAAAGGTAGGGCGGCAGGTGGGATGCTGATGGGAGTAAGAAAAGAAATCAAGGTTACAGGAACTGAGATAGAACAGGAAAAGAAGGGTTCATAGTAGGTTCGGTACAAATGAATGGAGTAATCTGGAAGATAGTGGGTGTATACGTGGGGGAGGGGATAGAGAAGACATTAGAGGGGTTAGAGGAATGGACAGGAAAGGGGGAAGAAGGGGGGATAACTATCATAGGTGGGGACTTTAACGCTAGAACGGGAAGAGAGGGTAGTAGAGTAGAGGGAGGGGAGGAGAGAGAGAAAGAAGAAAGGATAAGAAATTCCAAGGACAGTGTCATAAA